GCCGCCGAGACCGGAAGCAGAAAGTCATCTGCGCGGAAGGTAAGTCCCGTGGTCGTTCAAATGAAATTCTATTTTACCGCGGAAATTAGACAATTTTATATAATTGCGTTTTTGTTTCAGGGAGACGACAAGTCAGCGCACAGGAAGTCCCACGCGACCCCCGCGACCACGTATGCCGAAACTCCAGCCTCCACCCCCAGCCTCCACCGGAAGCGGCGCTCGGACACGGTGAGTCCCTTGTTTCGACTACAAAATGTCGAAGTTGTATTTTACCGTAAAAATTAGACGATCTCTCTATAAAATAAATGTTTGTTCCAGGACTCCCAGGTGGTGCCACCTCTGTCACTAAACCTAAAGAAGTCGAAGAGCCAATCTCGCGAGGAGAAGCCCGCCGCCCCCGCCGCTCAAACTGAAGAGGAGAAGCAAAAGGAGGAGGAACGAGAGAGACTGCGTGAAGAAAAGCACAAACGACTTTACGTAAGTTTTTATTCTTTAGTCGAAATTGTACTATTTTGTACATAACAAATCATATACATTATATTTGACTAAAAGGACTTTATTAATGTTTTCTTTTTATTTTCAGGGAGAATGGCCTTGGAAGAAAGAAATCTACAGTAAACCGGAGAAAAGATGCCCTTACTGTTACTTCTCCCATAATATTCCGGCTACGCTGATGGGACACCTTGAAGACGAGCACAGGGAGGAACTGCTTGTCGACAAGAAGCCTGGGGCGTGGGCCAAGGTAACAGCCCTGAGCCGAAATGGAATCAGAGTCATGAACGAGCGCCGGGTGCGGTCGGTCCTTTGCGGTGAGGGAGTGAAAGATCAGGAGATGGATCGGCAGCTACATCTTCATCGCCTCGTCTTGCACGAAGGACTCATCTGGCCAGGTGATGAATCCGATGAGCACAGGAAGTACCACGGCACGTGGAAGGAGCTGTGGGCGAATAAGTAAGTTCATTACATTACAAACACTGGAGAGAGAACGTCAAAGTAGATAAAAAAGAGTAAATATTGACTAATTTGTGCGTTTTTCTGTTCACAGAAAGTATCCTGCAGGGTTCGC